CACCATCTTCATTACCTGCCGAAAAGAAAACCAGGCTAATTGTTAAAAGAACTGTCAGTAATATATTAGACATTGTTTTGTGGGTCTTGCAAAACCAGTATTTTAATTATTTTTATTTTTTTTCCCCATGGCTGCTTAAAAAGCTTTATAATCACATGCCAATCATCCTATTAGACTACGTCAGGTTTTGAAAACGTTATCAGGATACCTTCAAAACACAGGGGTTTCATTCCATGATCTGGGATATGCTTATCATTAAGTAGCAATTTCTGTATAAGTGATTCATTCCCACAATCCAGTCCAAAGCATTCCATATATCCTCCAATTAGAACAATCAGTGCATTAATTCAAGAAGAGATGTTAACACAAATCAGGTGGAGCTAGCTCTGTGTTTTATGTAAATGTATTCCTCTGAGTGATCTATGGTGAAAAGATAGGATGCAAGAGGTACTATGCCTTTGTGTTTATCAGGAGTTCTTAAAAGTATATATTGGTGTTTTTTTTTTTTTTAATAAAACCAAACACACACACAAACCAAAAATGATTGTTTGTAACTTTACCAAGTATAGCTTGTAAAGCATGGAATCTGAATATAATATTTGTTTATTGTTACTGAGGTATTCATGTACAACGCAGGCAGTGACTGGACATTTATAGTTTTAAACTTGTTTCAGAAAAGGGGTTACAAAACATATTTTATATAATAATGCCTAGTGATCTGTTATGAAAGGTTTGCATAGGATAAAAAGACTCTTGGAAGCATGTTTGGTAAACAACTCTCCAGTTCAGATACTTTGGTGTGAAATTTGCCGTTCCCTGGTGAATGACCATTTACGGTGAGAAACGGTCCATGATCTAGGAGGGTTACTAACAGATTAAGTTGGGCAAGAGTTGCACTTGTTATCCTGCAGATTCATTCCTAGCCTTAAAGGACCATGGAATGTCCCCAAAACAGTCCAACTTGTTGAAGTGCATTTTGGGTGAGGAGTATCATATTTTAACACCTATTTATAAATTTAGAAATTGGTACATTTAAAAATAAATTATGGAAACTCCCCCAGCGGTCAATCAAAAGGACACAGAGGTTTTCTGCCTCTTTTAGTTAACTCCCCTGAACTAAGGAAAGTGACCGGTGTGCTCAAGTAGAGCGTGCATGGCTCCTGCCCCTCATACCTCTAGTCAGCATCCTCCGATCATCCAGACCTCAGATTTCTGACACACTTACATTTTATTGATTTCCCCCCTGGGAAAAAAGGGGAGGGCTTGCAAAGACTGGAGATCATAAGAACTGCAGTTTTTGTAAGGTCTTTAAATATATACCCCAATGAATTGAATATACGCATGAAAAATGCATGCATGTATTCATTGGTGGCATACCTACTAAACAATGATTTATACTGTTCTCTCTATAAAAGAGAACCAGCACATGTTACCAGATTTAATGCGTCAAATATCCTTACATTTGTGCAGTAATGGCTAACCTTGACACAAGTCACAAGACTTTTGTAAAATAATATACCTCCTAACATTTCAAATAGACAAAGAGGGACACTTTCTTTTAGGGATATTAGGGTGTGTGAGTGGGGTGTGTTGGCCATGGGCAGGGCCGTTTGGAGAATTTTAGATGACTAATAATTTATACAACTAGTACGTTATTTAATATAAGAAAAATGTATCTTATTTACACAGACTGATTTCCAAACACATTCATTGTATTTTTTTACGTATTTATGTGGAGTTTGAGAGTAGAGTCTTTTAACGCCCAGCTGAATATCCAGCACTTGATCTCAAGAAAATCCACCGATATTTCCATCTTAAATGCACTGAAAGTCAGAGTCTGCTTGTTAGGGGCTCAGCATCACGTGAGTGGGACCATTTATTTTGTAAATTCTTAATGTGGCACTGTAATTACTACACTATGGTCTGTTTATTCTCAAGTTTCTAGGTATATATATTGCTAAGTTGTGATTAATTTGCATGTATTGTGTTTTTGTGCTCTCAGCCTTACACTTTGTTTCATTGTTTTTACTCACTGTGTGTGTGTTGCCGAGTGACCTACAGAGGGCGACAGCAGAACGGATTTATTTTATAACAATCATTTACCTCACAGTTTCATTTAATTTTATTTTTTTCAATAAACTCAAACACATCAACTATATGGAGCACCTGGAAAAGAGGAACAGAAATGAGAGAGGGATTTAGTACCAATTAGTTATATATGTAATTATGCCAAAATGAAACATGTTTACAGGGACCGTACCATTGTCACCTCTCGATGGGCTGTGTATAAACTGTATTGCCGTGCAGGGAAAGAATAAATATATATAATCTCTCTCGTATACTATAAATATTATATTATAATTATAATATGGTAAAATGTAATGGCCTCTTTAAAAATAAGATCATCTCTCAAGCAATGATATCTGGGATATGAGAATACATTTGATGGAGCATCATATCTTAAATTTTAGCATAAAGCCAGATGCTTTAAATTTTTACATAAATAAATAAGAATACAAAACTATTGCATCTTATCTCAACCAGATTTTGCCTTCTTCCAAGTGGAATAGACAGACAAGGTAGGGGTATGTATTTACAACTCAAAATGGTGAGTTTTACATGTTGACTGTTGGGTATTATTGAAATTGTGTTTTAGTGTTTGTAAATGTGCAAGATATACACAGAGTTGTTTTAAATGGCGTCCATAGGTTAGTATTTCTTGTGATTGCGGTTAAAGTTCAGGTGACTGTAAAGCTCAGCCAGATGGATGCCGTGGTACATTTACAGCTATTTATCATGCTTTATTTTTTAAAACTCATTTTATTATCAACATTTTAAAAACAAAACTTTAGCTTTAACAGTAAGAGTGCATATAATTTACCCACTTATAAAATTGCTATGTGGGTACCAACATTGAAAGATATTACCTATTTCCTGTATGGAAATGTGTCTATCTGCCATAATTCTACCAACGGGTATAGCCAAAGCATGATCTGAGCCCATTTGATTTGCGCTAGTTTAAAGACAATGTTTAAAAAGCCAGATTGGACTCCTGAATAACTTTATTTATCAAAGATAAAGATGGCAATAGGGTGTGTGGCTAAGACGAAAAAAGGCACAATAATCCGCCTTTGTAAACTGGGATTCTGTATCATCTATCCATGCAACTGAGGAAGACGGTAACGCCTAAAAACATGTTGTGCACACAGTAAAACACAGGCTCAAGGATATGTGAGTGTGATATCATCTAAGGTATATTTATACTTGTATAGATAACCTGTATGCAAACAGTATTGCCCTAAGAGAGTATTTTATATATTTTTTATAGTAGCATCTCATGGATATTCTGATATGGTAGATAGATTTTTACATATATTTTGTACCACCGTTCACTGTTTAATTACACCATCTGTAACATATTTGCTGTCCCATGTTTCACTGTTAATTCATACAGTGGGTCACTTATTCACTGTTTATCTCCACAAAGTGTGCTTTTCACTTTTCTTTCATGCGTTTATTACTTTTTATTTTTGGCTGAAATTTTGTGATTGATATTACGGTGTCAGCTAGCAGCATTTTGTTTGTTTATTTTTTTGGATTCATATTTTGTTTGCAGCGCCATTTACATTGCACTTTTTCGCCTTGTTGTAAAAGATAAGATGTTTGATGTGTTTCACACGTAAAGGTTGTCTAATCACAAGCATTATTCAAGTGCAAAATAAATCACGTGTTTTACATTACCGTGTTCCATTCCTGGATTAGAAAGCAGTGTTGAAATGTACATTTTATCCTTTTTTTTTTTTCATTATTTTAATTTTTTTCTTAAAACACCTGTTGAAGTTGCCTAACTGATTCCCCTCCCAATTGGGAAAGACACCTAATTTGTATGGGGTTGCTTATTGCTTACTGCTGAGTGGAGGAGAAAAGATGTGGGTGCCCTGATGTGAGAGAGGTATATTCCCTAATTTGATCGCCCATTGATATTTGTTCTTTATCTATTCCGAATTTCTAATATTATGTTATGTTGGACTTTTGTGATTTCTTGTTAAGCAGAAAAGGTGTTGTACACGTGGCTTTCCGTGTTGTATTGCTATGATACCACCTTCAAAATAAAGAATTCAGAAAAACAAAAAACACCTGTTGAAGTGGAAAGTGTAATAGATCCTACTCCCTAATGTATGGTCTTATTGTTCATCAGTCAGCAAAGTATCATGTGATCAATTCCAAAGTATCTCTCAGACATTGTTGAAAACCAGTGCAGGAACATAATATAGAATGTGAAAAAAGGGAGTCTACCAGAAACATAACTAGAGGCTATTTTTACAAAGAGAATCTATCAAATAATACTAAATCCAAACTAGGGCATCCTGTTAACTTAATATTCCCTGTATTAATACCTAGACAATCCTATTCAATTCTAAGACATAAATAGCTGCAACATTAAAAGCAAGGACAGACAAGGACATTTGTCAGTCTTGCAAGATTGGTTAGTTTCGACCGCTCTAGATCTCATGGGTCAGTTCCCAGTGCTTGTTCTGCTGCTTGTCCTAGGGTGCACAGCCACATGTTTCTCTCAAGACGTGGGGGAATCCAATAAGGGTAAGTTCTATATACTGAGGAACCAGGTAAAATATGATCAAAGTTTTAAAACGAAATCAGAAACTATATCATAAAATGAACATTGCTTCAAGAATTATTGCAAACAGCCCTGATCTTCCTGCTTTTTCTGTGTATATTGCATGTACAGCAATTGTTTGATTTGCCATTGTGAAATTAGTATTATGGATGGAAATTACAAGACATGGCCCTGAGATTCTGTATACTAGGACCTCAAACTGTTTATTTATTTTGCCACTAAACCGCAGTTAACCTCAGTCTATTAATATAGGAGAAGCAGCAATGATAGGATTTATTTTGCAAGTGATTAGTGATATTAGTTTATTTTGGAGTATTTGAACAAATACATTTGCTTTGGTTTTTAAAAGTGGCAGAAACATTAGAACATCACTGCTGAACATCTTGATATTTTCAGGGTTATTCACTAAAGGGTGAAGTGTCAGGAATTCAAACTGTATTCAAAGTGAATTTCAAGGTCAAAGTTACCAAACTGGTAAAATAATCAAAGCCACTTAGGCTTCCAGTTTGGCTACTTTGGCCTTAAATTAAAAAATTCACCTTGAATTCCCCAAAATACTCACTTTAGTTTAAAACAACAGCCAAAACTAAAAAGAATAAAATAAAAAAAGAAAGAAAAGAAAATGCTAGTTCTCCCAATTCCTTATACATCTATTATATATTTTACTATTGATTTATAAAATATTTTACCAGGAAAGATACATTGTGATTTCTCTTGTTTTCAAGTATGTCCTGGGTACACAAAACATTGCATTGATCTGATAGGGTATAATAAAATACAAAACCAATATTTTTTATTATTTTAATTCTTTATTTTTGGTGCAATTTCAGCGGTACAGACATAAGTAAGGGTGCCACAATAGCATATGTATGAGGTACATTCACATTTCGTTTGTCTCATAGATTGGGCCGAGTTGAGCTGTGCACATTTTATATTAGCTATGTAGTTTTAACGGGGTATCTGACTGTGCCAGTGGTGAGTGTGATATGTATGTCTAGTGTCATCCCAGTGGGACTCTTAGGTGGTGTTGGGGCACTGGCACACCATATGGCCTCGGTGGTTGCTTAGTTCCTTGCGTGGCTCGAGATGTGTCAGGTTAGGTAGCGGAGCAAGGTCTTAGCGTTTGCGTCTCGTTTATGTGAGAGTGCAGTGGTGTTTTGGAGCTCGTGTGTTTGTGCCTTTGCAGGGCTTGGCCTGTCGTGGCAGCATATAGGAGTCGTATGACCTCTTCTTTTGTTTTTTTCCCCCAGCTAGGCCGATATTTCTGCGTGAAGGCTCCAAGGTTTACTGTGCCCTATAACCCCGGGCATTTGGGGGGGGGAGGGCCCCTGGTCTGGGCGCTAGGCAACCACCTTACCATCACAGGACTGTGTAATTAGTTCTAACCAGTAAGGTTAGGGTCAATGATAACAGGTTGTGAGTGACTTAGCTTGTCATCAAAAAAGCAAAACAAAGCAAAACAAACAGCGAATAAAAATAACAATAACAATAGGCTAGCAATGTGGCCAATGCAGGTTTCAGGTTGCGGGTCCCGTGAGCGTGGTGGCTGGTGCCATGGTGTCGTTGGACAATCCCAGGGTGGTCAACAGGGCCGGACCATTCCCAAGTTGGAGATCTTGTAGTGTTGGTCGCCTTCAGTCATCCATAATGTCCTGGGGGTTGCCCATTTGTACGTGAGGCCCGCTTCTTGCAGGGTGGTTGTGATGGGCTGCATGCTCTTGCGCCATAAGTCTCTACTCAGGTCCTGGAAGAAGGTGATTCGGTGTGTTTCAAATTTGTGTAGTGTTTTCTCTTTATTGGCTGTCATCAGGGCTATCTTAGGGATTGGCATCTTAAGATGATGTCGCGTGGAGCTGCCTTTGGTGCCTGCTGTGGTTTGGCTATGTCTGTTGGGGAGGAGTGCGGCCACCAAGCGCCTTATAAAGTGTGGCAGCTCGTCCAGTGGTACCACTTCTGATACCCCCCTGATTTTGATGTTCTTTCTCCTACCTCTGCCGTCTAGTATGGCGACTTGTCTGGTGTTTGCTTGTGCAGTTTGTATTTGGGTGACTGTGTCTTTAAGTGAGGTCTTGGCGTAGGTCTCTCACCTCTTGTTCCGCGGCCTGGGTTCGGGCCGATACTACTTGTACCTCTGCCGCCAGCCCCTACAGGTCAGCTTGCCACATGTGCTGTAAATTCCGTTGAAGACCAGCCAGCATGGTCTGAATGTCCTGCTTTGTTGCCGCTGCTGAGTCATTAGCGGTGTGTATGAGTGCGCTTCCTGCGTCTGTCATAGCCATGCTATGTGTGGAGTCCCCATCCTCGGACCTCTCGGGTGAGACCGCCTCGGCGGCTCTGGTCCATGCAGGCGGAGGGGATTGCAGCATGCTGCCTATGTCCCGGTGCGGCTTGGGAGCGCTCGGATTTGGTTTGTGTTCGGAGTGTGCACACGCAGTTCTTTTTAGCCGATGGGCTGTAGGTGTATTGCTAGTTTTTTGCACTGGTATATCAGAGCCACTGTAATTGGTGACCGCTGTGTTGCGCCGCTAGCTCCGCCCCCCCCAAACAATATTAATACACAATATATACAAAATTTTACATAAAACAGGTAGGAAATAGATAATCAACCATAACACGTGCATTCTGTTTTGAGATATTTAGAGAGGGATCTCTTAAAGGACTTTAGGCCTGGGTAAGATTTAAAAGTGTGCGGGAGGTGGTTCCATAATTGCAGTGCTCTGTAGGAAAAGGAAGATCAATATATTTTACTATAAATCCTTATAAAATGCTAATGCTAATGAATGCCTCAAATGATTTAATGATGGCTTCTTTCTGCTTTCAGAATAAATCTTTTACAAATCTTTTTATTGGCCACTAATAAAAATGCAATATTTTAAGTGTGTTAACAAATGTTATTTATATATATATATGCGTGTGTGTGCATGTGTGACTTTGCTCTAGATTCTAAGGAATCAAGAGAAACCATTGTTGCTAAATATGTATTTCTTTACTTGAGGTGCTTCTCACTAACTATATAAGAAGCATTTCATTATAAAGTATTATATGGCAGTGAATTAGCTTGACTGGAGGCCTAGAGAACTATGCGGCTTAATGATGACGATGATGCCATTATTAAAAAACATGGACTGATATGAGATCTTAATGGTTGAAAGAACCTCAGGCTGAGTGGTGGCCTTTTTTTGTAATTTTTATAGGAAATTTGTTTGGGGATGATGTAATGTCTAAACCAAGTGTGCTGACCAATCAATACATTTTGATATCACTTGATATCATACTCATTATATCCTAGATAGGGGATCATCATTATTTTTCATTGCTGATAATGTGATAAAAGCACAGGGGAGATATAGTACACCTTATCTGGGGTGCTGAAAGTTGCCTACTCCTCTTTTAGATCAGCTATGTACCTTTTATCCCTCTCATCTACCACCTTATTTCCACACGTTACTATGACTAATCAGATATGTAATGTCATTCTATGGTGGGTAAAAATATAATTAGTTTCCATCTTTATAAAGGCTGTTGGTAAAGCAGTGCCGTGTGAATGTGTGACCCTTGCAAACCATAGTTTTCTTTCATATTTATTAGGAAATTAGTTGGGACAAAAGTCTATTGCAGTTAGGGCTATATGGTAGATTCCCAGATGTTGCAAATATACATATCCAACAATATTTAGCCAGCCATCAAAAGTTGAAGCTGGGGATGTCCCTATTGGCCATCCCTGGTCTAACGATTGTGGCTTAAATGTAATAACAGCTGCACATACTTTAAAACAAGATTCGCTATAAAACTTTTTTTGCATAAGACTGCTAATATTAATACAAAAATGTGCCTCTCACATCAACCACTTTTTTTTATTTTTTATATTATATTATTTCTTGTAGTTCGTCCATGCATTGTTTTTTTTTTTTCAATTTCAGTAATTATTTTCCCTTCAATACAGATGAGGTTCCAAAGCCAGGCGGATGCAGCCCGGAATCCCCACATCATGACAATGAACCCCCTCCATGCCCAGACCTATGTGAGGGAATCGAAAATTGCACCACGACGAGCTGCACCATAGACAGTCATTGTGATGGCAGCCTGAAATGCTGTAAGACGAGATGTGGCATGGAGTGTGTTCCACCGTATTTTAGTGAGTCAAACTCTTCATAATGTACTATGATTGATAATAGATGATATTTATGGCAAAACAAAAGTTATAAAAACTAAAATAAATAGAAATTGACACATGTTGTACTGATATGTAGAATTACCTGCTTCAATATCCCAAGTTATTAATTCCTAGCTCTATTTACCGTGACCCTAATTATTATACATGGCGGTACCTCGATGACACAAGTTTCATTTAAATAAAAATGTGCTTGATCCAGCCAGTAGGAAGGCATTTAAATCATCATGGGAACCCTATTTTGTCTCCTGTTCCAGGGTTTAGAACCATTAATCTAGGTCTTAAAGGCATATCAACAGAATAGTCATGTGTAAGTTTAATTGTAAATAATTCTCTGTGTACACAACTACAACATGTTAACTCTACATTGATACCTATAACCAAATATATGATGGCAACATTTAAAGTGGCATGTTATATGACTTCCTGGTAACAATGATCTGTTTCTGCATTTCACTGTAAGTATATATATATATATTTTTTTTCTCCTAAAATCAGGAAACCCCTGTCAAGGCAATCATGACTGTCCATTGGGTCTAAAGTGCTGTAATGGTGTATGTGACAGCGACTGTATCTATCAACAGAAAAGACAAAGTCTTGTTACTAAAGGATCACTCAGCGCTGTGAGCGTGAGTATCGACATAAACCACATTTTGAGAATACTTGTGCTAGCATCTGTAAACAGGTAGCCCCCCAGCTGTTGTTGAACTAGAGCTCCCATTATGTTTTAGTTTGTTGAATTTACCTGCGCGATAATAAAATAGCTGTGAATTTACTAGAATTCTCTGCAAGCCAGCAGTTTACATTAATTTAGCCATACCTTCCAATATTTCAAATCCACAAAGAAACTTTAATATTAAAGGTGTGAGTGGGTGTGTGGCCTGGGGTGGTGCTGTTCTGAGAAATTTTAGGTGACATAGAACCTAAAATAGGTTTATTTAGAATAAAAACAATGTATCTCATTTACACAAACTGATTTCTAAACACATTTTTGGCAGTTTTAAGACACATTACTGCATTATTGCTGTAGCGCTGTTATACACTCATACACACCAACAATGTGGAGCTCCTAGAAAAGAGGGACATTAGGACAGAAAAGAGGAACAGAAGGATTTAGACCCAAAATAGGGAATATCTCTCCGACATAGGCACATTTTGGGAGGTATGATGTGTTTTGGGCAAATGCAAGTATTACAAATTTTAGAATGCAAAGTTGTATTTTTAAACAGTGTACTTTGTCTTTAAGATATTGCAAACTTCAAGGCTATGCTACGTAATAGCAATAACCTCTTACCTACTTTCAGTGCATAGTATGCTGCGTAGTTCTAACTTACGCCATTTTGTCTTCGCTTAATGGGTTTTATATGTCTATATTTATATTTATATTTATTAAAATATCTACAAAGACAAAACTTTGTTGCTTCCAAGACAATCCTTATTTTATTTTGTATTCTCAATTATTTATATGTATTTTAGATAGAGGATCTCTTACTGACTATATAATATTATGGCTAAGATATCTGTATGGTTAGCCCTGCTAAGTGCTATGCTTTAAGACGTTCTAGTGGTAAATAAGGGAACCGGCTGCGATTACAAATGTAGCAGTAGACAAGGTAAGGTCAAAGCCAAAATGGATGACAATTTGGGACATTATCAGTCTTGACACACATATTGTGAGAGAATTCCAGGGAGTAATTCCATTATTTAGTTTTTCTTTAAGTAAAAATTAACTATATTTAAGACCATAACCATGATTTCACTTTTTTTAAATTCAAGGATGCACTTCCTTAATTATTCACTTTCAGGTAGAAATACAATTGATTGCACACTAAAAGGGGAGTGAATTGATAGATGGAACAAAATGCTAAAATAAAAAATGGGTCCACAAAGACATATAGCTATCAAAATCAGAATAGAATATAAGTAGATTTAATCAATAGTGTGTAATTCTTCTCTACTCTCTGTTATTGGTATATAGAATGTGTTATTTCACTGTTATGATAATCTTATGTGACATGATTTTGTTTTCATTTTAGAAAAAGAAAGCTAAGTGACCATATCACAAGCAAAGCGACTCGATTTCACCAGAATCAATGGATAAAGTGACCTGTAGCCTAAAAATAAACATCTGATATGCCTGAGACAAATTGAATGATGTTAAAAATAATAAATATGTACAATATATTTTGCTTTGTATTTTCTTTTGGTTGTATTTGGTTTGGGACATGTGATACATATTGTAGTTTGTCTTCTTATGCATATAGCATAAACATGTTAATGATACTAATATTACACTATAGGTAATTATGACTTGGTGATTGTGATTTTGACACATGTATTAGCATTTGGCTTTACTAGAAAAAAAATAGAATATTGGAATATAAAGCTGGCTTATTCTTTCACTTATAAAAACCCATCTGTCAGAATGGGATATACTAAAATCAGGATAATGGCCCAGTTTGGGCTTGAATTACTAAGCTGTAACACAGATATTATATTATTTGACATGCAGATGTATCTCCTATTTAAAGGGACTCTCCAGTGCCAGGAAAACAAACTGTTTTCCTGGCACTGCAGGTCCCCTCTCCCTCCCACCCTCCATCCCAGGTTGCTGAAGGGGTTAAAACCCCTTTAGTGACTTACCTATATCCACGGACGTCTTTAATGCGGGGCAAACGGGGCAGCTGCCCTGGGCCCAGTTTCTCCTGGGGGGCCCAGAGCAGCTGTCCCGTGGGCCCTGCGATTTGCGTAGCCCCCATGGACCAGGCTCTGGCCCGCACAATAAGGAGGCCCCCAAGGTGGCCCATGCACTAAGGGCCACCCGGTGGGCATGTGTCAGCAGGGGCCCGGTCGGGCGCTGTGACACTTATACAGCGCGACCGGGCCCCTTCCTGTTCAACAGCTGGCTGGGAGGAAGTGAGTGCCACGCGTCACTTCCTCCCACCGGAGATCAGAGCCACACGGGAGGAGGAAGGCAGGGATTCCATAGGAGAACTCCCAACTGCCTCAACCTGCCACTGGACCCCAGGAAACCACCCTCCAGAAAAAGGTAAGAACCTGGAAGGTGGCTAAATGTATGTCAGTATGTCTGTGTGTGTGTCAGTATGTCTGTGTGTGTGTGTGTGTGTCAGTATATCTGTCAGTGTATGTATGTATGTGTGTATGTCAGTATGTTTGTCTGTGTGTCTGTCTGTGTGTGTCAGTATGTCTGTGTGTCAATACGTCTGTCAGTGTATGTGTCTGTGTCTGTGTGTGTCAGTATGCCTGTGTGTGTCAGTATATCTGTCAGTGTATGTGTCTGTGTGTGTATGTATGTCTGTCTGTGTGTATGTCAGTATGTCTGTCTGTGTGTGTGTGTCAGTATGTCTATCTGTGTGTATGTCAGTATGCCTGTGTGTGTCAGTGTGTGTGTGTGTGTGTGTGTGTGTGCATGTCAGTATGCCTGTGTGTTTGTCAGCATGTCTATGTGTGTGTCAATACGTCTGTGCCTGTGTGAGTGTCAGCATATCTGTGAGTGTATGTGTGTCTGTGTGTGTCAGTATGTCTGAATGTGTGTCAATATGTCTGCCAGTATATATTTGTGTCAGTGTATGTGTGTGTCAGTATGTATCTGCGAATGTTTTAATATGTCTGTCTGTGTGTGTATGTGTCAGTAGGTCTGTCAGTGTGATTGGGTGTTGCACGTAATTGGGGAGGTGAGGGAGGAGGTGGGAGGGGCAGGGCGCATGGGGGCCCAAGAAAATGTTTCACCCAGGGTCCTATTTATGTTATAGACTGCCCTGCCTGTATCCAGCGCCGATGTCCCTCGGCACTGGGTCAGGGTCCGCCCACTCTCCTCCCCCGCCGACGTCATTCGGTGGGGGAGACCTATTGCGCATGCGCGGCAGCCGGCAGGGGAGACCTCATGCGCATGCATAGGAAAGCAATGAAAAATGCTTTCAATGCTTTCCTACGGGGATTTCAGCGATGCTGGACTTCCTCACATAGCGTGAGAACATCCAGCGACGCTACAGCCCACTTTTCGTGTGCTATAATCATAGAAGTGCCCTTTAGTGGAGGAGTTAAGGAGTGGAGGAGTTTATGAAAACTGCAATAATTACACTTGCAGGATTAAGAGTAGTGGGAGTTGGCACCCAGACCACTCCAATGGGCAGAAGTGGTGTGGGTGCCTGAGGTGTCCCTTTACAACTCGCTTACAACCATTTCAAGTGCTGCTTGAGACTGATACTGCCACGTACAGAGTCTCCCCTTAAACCGTAGACAAAGACACTACCACAAGCCCTATACCTAGACATAACACAGGCCCTAGCCCTATACTAACCCTTACTCCAACCCTAACATTCTAAACCTACCCTAAAATATCATGCCAAGTATGTATTAGGAGAAAGTAATGTCATAATGAAACATTTATAAACCACTCAATTTTCAGCCTATTTAAACTCACTCACAAATATTGCGTGGGACCATTTTGACAGTTACATTATTAAGCCTAAGGTATGTGCATCTGACTGAAGCATTGTAAAGGCAACATATAATACCCCACCCCCCAACCTCCCAATTCAACCATGTGTGCCTCTATTTTTAGATCTAAAAATATATAAAAAAGAGACAGCGCTGGTTAACTAACAGGCCGCAACCTTAAAAAGGGAAACCCTCCAAACTCTTTAAGACAAGGTAAAAACAACAGTAAAAAGGCTGCGCCACAGAGAAGATAAAATAAGTCCAACAAATAAAAAGTCCAACTTAAGTGTCCTTGCAAGTGGTCTTTACAACAGAAAGTGCAATGGTGAAGTCTTCATAAACTGTATTGGTTCCACTTATATAGTTGACAAAAAGAGAGAGAGGGACGACCAATAGTGTAGTATTGTATAATTCCAATAATGACGTGCTAAGAAATAATAGTGGAGAACTCACATTTGGTAGAGCTTATGTCCAGCTCTAGGGTAAAAGCGCATACAGAGGTATATTCCCCGCTTATGGGATATGTCGTGGGTATCTCTCCGTCAGTGGTGTCCAACTAAATGGGGAGCAGATCGACTGCTCTTATGTATCAGCATAGGTGGATTAATCCCCACCTCAGGATTTCTTGGGATACAGGAGACTTCCAAAGTTTAAAAATCCAAAAGAGAATATTGGTTTATAATAGTAAATAAAATACTAAAAAATACTAAAAGGCCAGGTAAAAATAAAAAGAAAGGTAATGTGTATATAAAACTAGAAAAAAGAATAATTGGAGCAAATAAATGACCAAGAATTACTTTAATATTAAAATACACAGTATAAAATATCCATAATGCGTTTCGTCAACAGACTTTATCAAATGGAATAACATACAATACCTGGCTAGTTTGTATTATATAGGGGTTTAGGTGGTTTAAATTTGGTGCCAAAATTGATCCGTCCAATAAGAATTAAGTTTCATTTGGCAATTTTAAAACTCTAAAATACATCAGTTAAAACATAATATAAGATGTAAGGACACAGATATGATACATAAATAGCAAAAACGAGGGTTAAAAAGGCATAAACTTAACGATTAAAAATGCACACGTGACGCGCGGCACTTCCGGTTTCCGGACGTAATGCCGCACAGCCTAATGGGAAATGTAGTTCTGAGGCCGCAAATGGCGGCCATAAGTTAAAAAAGGTATAAAATAGGCGCAGCCATCTTGAGAGGGACAGAGGGATTAAGATAAAAGCCATCATAAAGAGGGCTTATTAGATAAGATGGTGGCCATATTGGAAAGGGCAAATAGTATATAGGGGCCACATTGGGAAGGGCAGAAGAGGACGTAAACACAATAGACAAATAGTGATACAATGAGAATATTTAGGAAAATAAAACATTATGAAATGTTGCAATTAATACAAAAGGAGAAAAGAATAAAAATGCTTATTTTAGATATACAATTAAAATAAAGTAAAACCTGTAAAACCTAAAAGGCATATGTGTAATACAGACATATTGATTTCTGGTTTGTTTTAAGAAATTATATAGGTCAAAGTCTGCATTGAGGCCATGGGGTATAAGGGTCTTTAGGTTATACACCCATTCCATTTCTATTTTTCCAAGTATTTTTTTTATATCTCCTCCACGCCAGGGGGTAGAACATTTCTTTATGCCGATACATTTTAGTAGTTTAGGGTCTTTATTATGCATAATAAAATGTTTGGATACTGTATGATTTAAGTATCCATTTTTAATATTTCTGCAGTGTTCGCTCAATCTTGTCTTTAAGCACCTTGTGGTCATCCCTACATATTGGAGACCACATGGGCATTCAAGCAGATAAATAACATTTTTAGTATTGCAGCCGATAAAATCATAAATATTATAAATTTTTTTGGTCCTATTAGACATAAACTGAATAACCTTAGATGGAGTGGACGGATCTGTAGTTCTACACACTATACATTGTTTACATTTATAAAAGCCTTTTGTCTGAGGAAAAAAAGAAAAATTCTTAACAGGAGATTCTCGGGTAAAATTAGTAGTTAAAATGGATTTAAAATTGGGGGCACCTCTAAACACAATATTTGGCTGATTGGGTAAAATTGGATTCAGAATATCATCTTCTTTGAGTATGTGCCAATTTTTTATTTGTTAAAATTAAAAATAATAGGAAGAGATATTGATTCATCATTTTCTTTATTTTTATAAATCAGAAGATCTTTTCGTTCTTTTTGTTTAACTGTATTAATTGTATTGTTAAGATCTGAGTCTAAGTATCTTTTTTCCATAAATTTATTTTTTAAAAGGTTAGCTTGTTCGTTAAAATCTGTTATTTCTGAGCAATTCCTACGAAGACATTGGAATTGGCTTTTTGGGGCACTCTCAAGCCAGAGCTTGTAGTGGCAGCTAGTTTTGTCAATGTTTTTGTGTGAAGTTGACCTTCTTTAATAAAAATATTAAGGTCTAAAAAATTAATAGATTATTTACTATATTCATGTGTGAGAATAATACCCCTATTGTTAATATTAAGGTCATTAATAAAAGCAATTAAATTATCTTCTGGCCCTTCCCAGATAAAAAAAAGATCATCTATATATCTAAAATATGAGACTAGGTTTGCCCGCCAGGCATGATTGCCCCAGACAGCTTCGGATTCCCAGTCCGCCATAAATAAATTTGCATAGCTGGGGGCAAACCTAGTACCCATGGCATTACTCCTCTTTTGAAGATAAAAAGAATCTAAAAACCAAAAATAATTATTTTTCAAAATTATGTTAATACCTTCTATTATAAAATCAATCTGGATGGCAGGGATATTACCTTCCAGGGTAAGAATCCTTTTAATGGCCTGGCATCCGATATCGTGAGGGATGATT